ATTTATATTTTTTTAAATAACATATATATATGCATAAAATATTTTCATATAAATAATTAATGTAATTAATAAATATATTAATATTATAAAAATTAATTTATTTAAATAATCAGAAAAAAAAAGAATTTGGAGAGGAGTTGATGGCCACGTGGCTTTCAATATGAATTGCAAAATTTGCAATTGGTTTCCTATGTGGTATGGTTGATTATGACAAAATAGGATTTGCAAGTGGATTTGAAACCCCCATATGGGTGGTCTAACAAAGACATTAATCAAAAAATAATGGCCAAAGCAAGTTGAATACCACAATTACCAAATCCACAATAAACATATTATACAAAACCTAGTAAAAAAAGGAAATTACCCAAAATAACCACTTTATATGTGGTACATTAACAAAATGACCATTTTTTAGACATTTCTCACAAAATAACCACAAAAATACCCCTGGAGGGCGATATACTTTATTAGGGGTGATTTTGTGATTTGAGGTACGAATGTGTCACACATGTATACCATTTGGGGGACAAAAATCTTATTTTTTAACATATTTATGAAAATTGCCCTATACTATTGAAAATCACCCCTGGGGGCGATTTTGACCCTTGTTTTGTCTTGTAGTGGAGACATTTTATGACACAACTTTTTGGTTGATTTGACAATTCAATGACGATGTGACTAGACATAAGGGCGATTGTACAAGTTATTTCGTCTTATTATGGGACGATTTTGTATAAAATGTCCATAGGAGGGGACCATATTTTCATCACTTTCAACTTCCACCAACACCACCAACCACCGTGAACAACTACCGTATACTGACGTCTACCACCGACATGCTCCACCTTAGACGGACGTCTTGACATCCACAACCAACTGCCGACATCCACCAACATCCACCGACATCCACCACCGTACACTTCCATCATCCACCACCGTCCGCAGCCACCTACCACTGTCCACCATTATATATAATGGAACCATCTGCAAGAAATCGTAATTTTTGTCTGGTTGAAGATTTGGATGGCCGAAACCAATACCCATAAGGCTCATATATATGACGTCTGACATATATGCAATTGAGAAATGCATTTCAATGTCGCATGCACAAAATTGGCATCCCAACAAATATATATTGTATGATTTTGTATATGCTTTCAAGGTCAGTTATTGTTGTTTATTTATTTTTTAAGATGTTATTTTATTTACAAATTAATTGACCTTTTCTCACAATTAATAAAATAAAATAACAATAACTGACGGATTATAACGAAAATAACTTTAACCACGGAGAAAAATCTCCAAAATCCAGATCTGTTATTTTATCAGATGTGCCAAAACCAATACCAGAGGCTGATTATACACCATACAAAACATTGGCAGGATGATGAGGTAAATATATTTAAGCTTTCTGATATTTTTACTTTACAAGTTAACAATTAAATAAACTCTTTTAATTTATATTGGATTGTGCGTACGTAGTTTATGCCGCAACAGGATCCTATGATAGATGCGGTAAATGGTCATTGAGGATGAAGTACCTCCAACCAAAGATAAGCAAAAATTTAACGTTAGGTTTTCTCTGGTTGATGAGTTCATAAGGAGTTTTTAGATGTCTTTTGACCATAATTGATATATTTTTGTGTAAAGCACGCGGTGGAGATAGCTTCTACCCAAAATGGGTTGGAAGACCAGAGGCTGCGAGCATTGTTCGTGCAACTTCAACTAAGGTTATGTTCTTCCTTTCTACAACATCATTATGTTATGGTGTTCTTGCAGCCGAGAAGTTCTGGGATATTCCCTCTTTGGCAAGGTACTCGACAATTTTTGAATTCTTTAACTCTGTACCATTGTCACTCCTCAGCTTTTGAATTCTGTTATGTAGAAGAACTTGAATTTTGGTCATCAGCTTTATCAACAGCTTTGGCACATTTGATTTCTGCCTTACGAAATCAATTCAAGTATATTGTGAGAATTCATCCATTAATACAAGGATATATTTCTTGCTATACATGCTTTGTATAGAGATAGGGCCACAAAGGTCCACGTGAAGCATATGCAGAGGTCTGTCATAGGAAACATCATTCTTTGCCTTGTGAGAGGCTCTTTTGAGTTTACCTATTCACATGTAGGACAAAGATGATCTTTTTCGAACTTTATCAAAGGTAGTCCGACAACCAAATTGTTTTTGACAAGCTTCTCAATATTTGAAAAATTGAGGTGAGACAGCTTGTGATGCCTGAGCCAGACTTCTTCATTTTTACGAGATATGAGACAAAGTGTCTCTGTACCATCTCTAGGTGAGAAATTCATGATATAAAGATTACCTATCAGCTCTAAGCATCTCTTGACCCGATTCTGACAGCAATGAACAATATTTTTTTTGGAAGTTGACATTGTAGCCAGAATCACAAAGTTGACTTATGTTGAGCATATTATGCTTGAGCCCAGAAACATAAGAATCTTTAGAGACAGAAACCTTACCTTCATTAAGAACTCCATAACCCTTGATTTTCCCGTGTATGTTGTCACCAAAGGTTACACTTCCTTCAGATTTGTCTTTGAAAGAGGAAAACAACTCTTTGTTACCAGTCATGTGCCTTGAACATCCAGAATCAAGATATCAGATGTGCACATGTTGTTTCTGCAAAAAAAATTTAAAGATTTTTAGGTACCCATTTCATAATGGGTCCTTTATAGTTAGGCTTAGGAAACTCAGTTTTCTTTTTGGATGAAGGATCTGCCTCAGCACCTGCTTTTCCAGTCGCAGTTGGTTTTTCAGATTTGGCCTTGGGAGTCTGCTTCTTCTGGGTCTTAGGAAAACTTCTTTTGGGTGACCCAGAGAATGAAGTTGGGCTTAAGAGGTGTTGTTTTAATTGCCGCAACAGAGATAGACAATTATGAATAGCATTAGTTATTCTAGTGAACTTCGTGTCTAGTTTAGATTGATTTTTAAAATTAGCCTTGGTCTTCTTTTGTGGCCCTCTCTTGTTCCTTTTCCTTCCCTTAGCCTTCAGAGGATCCTCTGAAACAGAGGGTTTAGATTTAACATTAGCAGACCACTTACCTTTATGTTCTCGAGTGAATTTTATAGGCGTTTAATAGATTGAACTAGAAGTTTTTGAGTCAGAGGTTTTAGACTTTTGCTCTTTTCTCTCTTTCTAGCTCAAGACAAGATTTAGATTTCAAACACATATCCATGAAATCAGGACACATGAAAATCTTTTTCCTCTACTCAGAATTGGAACAGATTTAAGAGGGATCTCATTTGGAAGTTTATTAACCTCTGGTCCTGGCACCACAATCTCAGTCTCAAGATGCTCTATATCCAAGTCTTCCTCTGGCCTAGAGTCAGAGTCGAGAAAATCTCGTATAGGACTTGGGATATTGGAGTTCCCATTGAGCTCTTATGGTATTTTTAAATATTGAAGAATCTTATCTGAGTTTTGGTTGAAAAATTCTTCATCAGGGATATCTGTCAATTAGTTTGAATCTTGAGATTCCCATAAATAGATTTCGAAGCCTTTTGCATCTTTCTGCGTAGAAGAGCTACACTTGAAACAATTTTTGGAAATCTCATCTGGTTTGTTTTGTTGAGATACAGAGCAGTGATCCAGAGCTTGAAGCAGATCCTGCTCAATGACTTATCTCACTTTTTCTATGAATTCAGCTAATAAGCGCGGATCCAAAGTTTCAAGAAAATCCTTTTCACAAACATTTCCATCTCTTGTCTCTGTTGGTTTAGGTATGAATTCATCATCCTTTGGAGTTGTAGCATTTTGATCTTGGTTACCAGAGCATAAAATTTCCTCTTTCTAAATATTTTTTAAATCTACTTGTTTTGATTGATGCATACTTTTGATAGAAGAGTAAGAGGTATTTTTGAATTCTAGCCTCTTTGCTCTGGCACCATTCTTAAGTGTTGATCTTTTAAAAGGAGATGGTTCATGCAGAGCTGGAAAATTAGGTTTTTGCTCTTTTCCTAAACAAAAGACAGATTCAAGGGACAATTTCTTTTTCCAGGTGAAAAGGTCTAGGTCTACATAACCTAGCCCTGTTTTGTACTGTTGAGCATTAATCTTTTCATACACTTGCTGAGCATCTTGATATTTTTTGATCAAGAGCTCTTTTATTTGCAAACTTTGGTGCAAAAAATCTCTTTCTTCTTGAAAATAGTTTTTAAGAGCTAAAGAGTTAAGTCTATCACGCTCTTTCTCAACAATCTTCTTGTCCTTCTCTATTATAGCCTTTTTCAATTCAATGCTCTGATTTAAAGACATTCTCTGTGGAAACCTTGGTTTAAAATCTTTTGGTTTTCCATAGAGAGCTCCTGATAAGTGTTAATTTATTAACCTTATTACATCATTTTCTTAACCATTTTCCTTTGTTTTATTTGCCCATTRGTGTCCTAATTGAGTCTTTTTATGCHHTTTTCATATAWTARTAGTAATATAGTATATCTAATGTTAATTCCCGGTTTTTGCAGGTTTTTGAGCATTTTTGGGCCCAGT